GGGCTAATGCCCTCCCCGGGTTTTGCACTTGTTCCCAAAATATTCGTATGATATCTGAAATATCCCCCCGCGCATTGCGCATGCGCCAGAAAATTCGAAAATCAATATTTGTCGGTCCTCTAGCGTGTAAACACAGCATATCTCCCGTACCGACAATTTATTTGTCGGTCCTCTAGCGTGCCACCATATCAGAGTCTTGAGAACCGACAATTGTCGGTACTCTAGCCTTTTATTTATGAACCTTCTTCACAAGCACATGAGCAAATTTAAATTATAAAAGTTGAATGAAAGTGATTTATTTCTAAATAAGATCACATGAAACCTGAATTTGTCTGTATATCCATCATTCGCTTACAATTTAGAATGATAATATTCCCCGGTGCTATTCGAATCGGGGAGGGGGGGGGGGTGCTTTTTGATAGTTTTTTTTAGAAAATCGTGCGAAAAGTGCTCAGAGTGGTGAAAACCTGCGGGAATTTGAAATAATTTCTGGCCAGGGAGGGGGAAACTACCGAACCTCCAGCTTCCCCTGGTTACGGAACTGCTTATTGGTAATCTCCATTCAGTTAGAGTCATCAATGGTGAAAATCTGTGTTGGAGTTAGCTTCATTATCAACCTCAGTTAGAGTCATTCTAAGTGAAGCCGTTTTCTTTCAATTTCTCTAATATCGCGGGTGCTTGAGCCTTTATTTGTGGTTGTTTACAATTATATCTTTATTAATTTGCATGGCGAAACTTTTGGGATCAAGATTCAGCTTGATTTGGCTGTAATTGGAGATTTATCGAAAACGAACGAATTTTGTCCACCATCTTGAATGAAGCTAACTGCAGTTAGAGTCATCCAGTTGTGGAACAGTGTTAAAGGTCATATCTGAAAATAATTGCCGCTCTTAACATGGCAAAGGGGGGACACATTGACTAGTAATGTGGTGTAGATTGAACTTTATTTTGACAAAACACTAACTTTTAAAATGACTGTAACTTTTTCCCATTTGGGAGTTAAACCATGATACTTGGCAAATCAATGTAACTTTGGACAAGCTTTAAAATGATATATGGCACATACTATGAGGACACTGGAATATGTCTGCCTAGGGGGGGCCCCATACTTTCGGGACACCCTGTAGCTATGAAAAATACATGCTGTCGCAAATGTAATAAATTCTTACCTCAGTGTATTCAGTGCTCTATTTTCTCCATTCTAGCATGAATTTGTGTCCATAATGACAAATAGGAACTTAAAGATTTGAAGTGAAAATTCACATGTTAATGCCGACTCTTCAAATGTTGAGGGGATTTTGGAGCCGGATTACGCCGCAAGTAGGATTGGCTCCCAGAATGCAACATGACACGTGTCAGCTTTCAAAATGCTGTTCCTCCATTTTGAAACCTGTCTCAATTCTATTCTATTTATTTCATAATTCTTATATAATATACACTATAAAAACAAGCCGCTAGACACCCTAGTGGGTATATGTTGCGGTTTAACAGAAATTATTAAAATGACATCTAGACTACATATAATTAAGAAAGCACTTAGTCTCGAGTAAATAAGGTTAACTGATGTTGCATTCTGGGAGTCGATCCTCCTTGGATCACAAACATGGCGATTCATGAAAACATTCGTTTGATTTGGTAGAAATTTATCCATCATTTGCAGGTATGAAGCTTTGGATTCATTTATTGTGCTACTTCAAGTGAACAGGAATTATTTTTCTACCACTTGGGAGAGTTTGAGACACGAAACTTAGAATTTAGCTCATTGTGACAACTTTTGATGGTTGAGGTTTATTAATGTCTCCGACTTTACTTCCATGCTGGAAGCCTTTCTGTGATTAATAAGTATATGTGCTTAAACACCAGCAGACTACATTAACATATATATATATATATTTACTATTGTAGATGAGAAGAACTTTGGTTCAGATGTTACATAATTTTTATATCATCTTATCTCCGTTTGTTGGTGTTTGGCAATTGGCGGTTGGTCTGTAACAAATGGTGGTGACATTTTGCGTGTAAATGCCTTGTTTTGTATTGTGATACATGTACACTGTAACTTCTCTATTTTCAGGAGGCTAATCCCAGTCTACACTCTCATAAGCGAACAAAATATTGACTAGGCTGCCCAATATATTCAATACTGTACATATTCATGTGTATATGAGAACATCAATAAAACAACATAATGTGGCAAGTTTTCATGGCATTAGGGCGTACATGGGCCCCTTATGTTCTGCTCCCTGTGACGATCACAATCGGAGCAATCGGATATAACTTAGAAGGACTTCTACGTGACAGATACACTCCATATAAAAATAAAAGTATTAAGGATGAGAGAGAGGAGCGTCTCCTTAATGAAAAGAAAGATACAACAGAAGACAAGCCATTGGATTTGAAAACATTTATTCCTAATACGGTGCTAGGAAGAAATGATCCTAATATCTTACATGAAAAGAAAGAGTAAAAACTACCAAGGAAAGACAGACTTTAAGCAATTCACTCTTTAATGACAAAACGATCATATCTACTACAAGAAGCGCTGTGACTATAATGAACCACTGAAATGGAAATGGAAATTAAATGGGGAATCAGTTTAACTGGAACTGTCTTTGAGTCACAATTTTCCCTCAAATGAGTGGTAACACCCCAGGGGTAACACATCAATAAAAAAGGACCTCAGCTAGAGCTTTGACATGTTTTTTATTCATTGACAATTTTTACCAACTACATTAACTTTTGTACATTTGTAGTTGTAGCAACTAACATGGTGTTGGCATCTGCTGAATCTTACATGTCAAACCAAGAGGAGGGAAAACCCCATGATTCAATTGATGACATATGATTTTCTCCTTCGCGCACCTCCTTTCCCGGAAGTATGCATAAAACTTACCCTCCATTTTGTTTTTCAAAGTTTTCAAATTGACCTAGTTTTAAACCAATCAAGCTAAACCAATCAGCGACGATGTCATCTCAATACAGATTTACATTATAAGCGTATGTCATCTTTGAACCCTGGGGTTTCTCCCCCTCTTTGTCAAACCATACAATACATGTACTGATTATGTGTTTATATTTGATATGGTGATAAATAGATGGCAGGGCTGTTGTTATGTCCATTTTCTGTCCAAGAGGGGGAAATACCCCAGAATACAGAGATGAACCTCTTGAGTATCATCAATACATAGAAATAGATTCATCTATGAAATCTGGGGCATTTCCTACCCTTCTTATTATCCCATTGATCATATTAGCACTAATAACTTAAGATACTGTGTGAAATTATAATTGATATTACAACAATACTGTACAGCATCATGATTTGAAGTATTGCTAATTTTGCTATAACTTTTGTTCTCTTGCGTTTCTCTTCATGAAACTATCACAAGGTGAGGAAAATATATTTCCTCTTATCATATTCAAATTTCTTGACAAACAATTTAGTTGACGAAGAAATGGTTACCATCATGGTAACCATTGTCTGGTTACTATGGTAACCATTGTCACGGTTACTATATAGTAAAATTAGCAATACTTTGATTGGTTGATTGATTGTACATGAATGCATCATTGGTGATTTGCTGTTTGGCCTTAACAAATTAATTGTTTGTTTAGTGGTGTAGTTTCTTCAAAACTAATTCCCCGTATCCATTTAACAAACAATTACACTTGACAGGTCGAGGGAGTCATTAAATCGACTATGCTCAATTGCTCATATATGTATTCTTTACACATACTTAATCAGTAAATGCAACTTGCACATTGTTATATTGTTTTTTTTCTTATTGGAACTCAAGACAATAAGAAAAATAAGGTGCAAAATGAAATAAGAATGCAATAATTAGGCTACAATTCATCCTTGGCCAAAGAGTAATTCATTGTATTACATTATGCTCTACTATGAAAGCAGTGAAGGACCGATCTTGAAGGATGGCTACAATTGATTTGTTGTAACTTTTAAAAAGGGAAATAAATACAATTTTTTTTATATTTGATTGAATTATTCTTCCAAATTACTGTAGGCCTATTGTTCAAATTATGATGTGTACTGTACTATTGGATATAATTTGAAACTACATAAGCTTGGGGAAAATGCAAATGTCACTCAACTTTTTGGTGATTTTTAAGTCATGTTTGCACTTCACATTTCAAAATCAACTTATAAAAGTAATATGAAACCAACTTCTAATTTGATTCACTGACCTTTTATTTTTTCTCAAAGCATTTGTCTCAAAATCAGGAAATTAGGGTGATATGCAGTGGAATTTTGTAGGGAATTTCAGTCACAAAAAACGAATGGCACACTTCCTCGAGTGCAATAACACGCGATCCTAACTTCGACCATTAATTTGAATTTTTGACCTACCAGGTGCTTGAAAATCAAGGATTGCGAGACTCATACTGCACCGTTTTTCTTCAAACTTATACCATTAAAAGCAGAACAAAATTGCCTTTCTGTCGGTGCATTACTTTATTGTAAAGAGTCCCTCGTTCTAGCAGCGTTTTGGTCCCCAGCTGTTAGAAGGCCTTACAGCTGGGGACCAAAATGCCGCTGGAAGTAGGGACTCTGTTGAAGAGAATAATGTACCATAAGAAATGATTAGTGTTATGCTTTGAATGGAACAAGTTTGAAGAAAAACGGTGCAGTATGAGACTCGTAATCCTTGATTTTCAAACATCCGGTAATCTCAAAAATTCAAATTAACGGTCGAAGTTAGGACCGCGTGAATAAGTAGAAAAAACATTAAACAACTGAACACAATAATTTGAAGGAAGCTGCATGAACCTCAGCATTCACATAAATTACATCTAGAACATCTAGACAATGTCTTAAGTTATTTTTGTTCAACATCAATATAGAAAACCCCCTTATGTGGCCCCCTTATGACTCCTGGTTCAAAAGCTCGCCTGTTTTCAAATTGGCCGCCATTTTTGTCTCGTGAAATTTACTTTTGGACCATTTGCTTTAAAACTTGTGTCGATAGGATTCTCGTTTTAAGTTATTTTTGTTCAACATCAATACAGAAAACTCCCCTATGACTCCTGGTTCTTTCTTTGTTTATGTTTTTTGGTCGATCTTGTGCCGCTGTTACACCATCACGTGCGTCAATATCAAGCCATTCTGTTGGGAAGTTCAATTCTGTAGAATTATCTGTGTTATTATCTATCGTATCGACAGTTCCAAGTCCAACCAACAATATCATTGTTAAAGTTAAGTACATCATCATCATGAGTTTCTGCCTCATCAAAATATACGAAATTGTCACATTGTACAGTGTTGTTCTATCCTTATATATCAGTTACATGCTTTTTTAATAGAATGACATGTATGAATTACACCTCAGCCAATCATGTAACGGAGAAGCAAGAATTGTAAAATTATACTTGTTACGTCATTCGTTCAAAAAGTCATTGGAATCGATCTGAAGAATGGTGTGTAAGACAATAGTATGACACCAGTTCCCCCGTTCCTTATGAGAGTGTAATGCTTTCTACATTTTCAAAGAGGCTCAAATTACTCGCGTCTCCTTGTTTGGAGACAAATTGATTTAAAAAATGCCCATTTTGACCAAACGTAGGCTACACCAATTTTGACTCTTATAGCCCCCGACCCTGGCTACGGGAATGGATCATTAAAGCATTTATTTGAAATTCCATTCACATAAACATTGCTGTCCATTCTATAATTTAACTGATTTGGCACCCGCTCTATTTTGGTGGAGATTTAACTTACTCTAAGTTCACCAATTTAAATGTCCGCAAAAATCGAAAATGAAATGGCGCAAAATCAACCCAGTTTACTGTATGTTCCAAATTGTCAATGTAATGTCCGCAGGTGTCAATGGACATATCCATATCCATTATATACTTACATTGTATTCATATATAACACTAATCCCATTACTGTTAGTCAGTAGGTGTTGCTCGGTATGGGCAGTGAATGAAATTATGAATGTCCATTTATCATTTGTTAGTTTTTAATTCTATCAGGATGACACCGATTTGGTTTCTTTTTCTTTTGAAGAATGTGTTCTACATGTGCGAATAATAAATATATATTTCATGAATTCTGGAAGAATAAAATCTCTAATGATAAACAAAAACGAAAGTGCAATAACAAATTAAGAACTTATAACACATTCAAAAGTAACTTTCCCTATGAAAATTATTTAGATGTTATTAAACGTTTTGACCTGTGTAGAGAGTTTACTCAACTTAGAATAAGTGCACATAATCTCCAAATTGAACTCAGTCGCTACACAAGACCAAAACCGACACCTCTGGAAGAGGGAATGCAAAACATGAATATTATAGAAAATGAAGAACACTATCTCCTTCACTGTACGAAATATAATAAACAAAGAAGTATAATGTTGTCTAAAATGAAAATGCCAGTACAAGAAAATCTAATTATTTATTTGATGTCTGGAAAAGATCAAAACTGTATAAATGTAGTACGACATTTATATTTACATCCAGTACCAATAGCTATATCTCTAGTGCACCAATGCATCATCATCATTAATAGTAACACTAATAATTATGTAGTTTTTTTTTACATGTAAATGTCTTCCTTTTCCTTCCTTTATAATTGTTATAATTTTTTGTTTGTACATGTACTTCACCCCAAGGGGTGTGAATGTACTTGAAGAATAAATATATAAAAATCCATTTCGTTCGAACTTTTGTTCAAATAAACTCTGAAGCAGCATTTTCCTATTTTTGTCACGCTAAGAGGTTCTTATAATTGAAGTGTTGTACACCTGTGGACGGGAAATTTTAGAAATTTTGGTAATGGAATGATTACTTCTCAGAATTCTGTTTTAAACGTTTGCATTAGGCTGTAATATAATATTCCTTTCCATCACTCTACCATATGACATTAACAGATCGGAAAAGCCCGGCAACGGTAAAGTCGAGACAATAGACACTGTAATTACCATTTGCCGTTGTCTTTATAAATTACTCAAATTCATATTCCGTTGTCATTGACGATATCGAAGACGCTATATTGTGGCGATTCACGACCCAATATGATCGAAATTGGGATTGCATATGAAACGACATCACAAGAGCTTAATACATGCACATAATTAGCGACGATATAATCCCATGAAATGAGGACCAAGTGATTAAACAGTTTAAGCGACGGTTATGTCCGCCATTTGCAATTGTGACACGGTATCTGACTTTACCGTTGTCAGGCTATTCCGGTGTGATTTCGCGGTCAAGAATCAACTGGTCATGAAATTACGGAAAGGGAGAGCTTATACGGTAAGTCGGAGCCAGTTTACAAATTTGTTCGTAACGTTGAGATAGAGAGTCAAAATTATAACTATACGAGATAATGGGAAATCCTCTGTTGTTCATATTGGTGCTAGTTATGCGTGATTTACTTGGATGTTTTTCATAAAAATAGAGAAGTTTAAAAAATGAATCTATGAAGACGATGCGTTCATCAATTCAGAACAGACTGTGCATCGTATTTCTGTTTACGAAAAACGGAGAGTTCATTTTTCAAACAAATCCATTCGCTCCATTTTTCAAGTAGTTTATTGTATATATGTAAATGAAATGATCCATTTGTAACTACTCCCTAGACATTAATAAAGCTGAAATTGATGGATATAACACAAGGAACATTATAATTTAGTCACGCACTTTTAGAAAAAGTTGAGAATAAAACAGTAGGAAAATGTGATTGTAACAAAATTTGGCGTTTCTTAATATTTCATCCATGATAGGTAAACACCTACACAAACATATTCATTATTTCATTAACTATTAGTTATTAAAATAAAAAGAGAGTCGCATCGTGCAGATCGACCTCAATCTATGATTATACTGGCTTTCAGAGCGCAACACGATACTCTGTCCCATATATGGGGATGTCTTGCTCGGACTACTTCTACAAATACAAGACGGTGCCGTTAGCGAAATCACGAAAATAGCTGAGATAATTGATAATTCTCGTGTAAGCAAATCAAATGATGATGCAGACAAAATACCTAATAATAAAGTTCATGTAATTAGCAATGCTAGAACTAGCCAAGCAATGGAAGAAAGTCTGACGAAGGAGTTTTTGGAATCGCAATGAAAACAACGTGACGCCAATCACACTAACAATAATGTCAACTTCATAGAGACAGCAATCGGCATGATAAACTGAAAAAGAGCAGGGGTGATAACACAACTAATAAGAAGTTATTGCTTGCTCGGTGCATTTCTTTATTTCTAAAACATGTACAATGCAAATTTCACAACAAAAATTAAAAGAGTTATATATGACCAAATTAATTAAGTTTTTGATGTTCAGATTGTAAAATAAACTTTGCATTCTTGCTTTTTAAACATCGTTTTCATCAATTTTCGATCAGTTACTCTACAGTAAAATTTGTTAATGTGAACAGCCTTAAAACATTTTAGTCATACTTTTGAACATACCCAACACACGTTACTAGGACTTCATAGTGCGACGTGTGAACACCAGTCGTTGTGAACAGCCTTTGAACATTTCAGTTACAATTTTGAATATACCCCACACATGTTACTAGGACTTCATAATGCGACGAGTGAACACCAGTCATAGTGAACAGCGTTTAAACATTTCAGTCACAATTTTGAACATACACCATACGTGTTACTAGGACTTCATAATGCGACGAGTGAACGACAGTCATAGTGAACAGCGTTTAAACATTTCAGTCACAATTTTGAACATACACCTTACATGTTATGAGGATTCCATAATGCGACGAGTGAACACCAGTCATTGTGAACAGCCTTTGAACATTTCAGTCACAATTTTGAACATACACCATACATGTTATGAGGATTCCATAATGCGACGAGTGAACACCAGTCATTGTGAACAGCTTTTGAACATTTCAGTCACAATTTTGAACATACACCATACATGTTACTAGGATTCCATAATGCGACGAGTGAACGACAGTCATTGTGAACAGCATTTAAACATTTCAGTCCCATTTTTGAACATACACTTTACATGTTACTAGGACTTCATAATGCGACGAGTGAACACCAGTCATAGTGAACAGCGTTTCAACATTTCAGTCACAATTTTGAACATACACCATACGTGTTACTAGGACTTCATAATGCGACGAGTGAACGACAGTCATTGTGAACAGCATTTAAACATTTCAGTCCCATTTTTGAACATACACTTTACATGTTACTAGGACTTCATAATGCGACGAGTGAACACCAGTCATTGTGAACAGCTTTTGAACATTTCAGTCACAATTTTGAACATACACCATACATGTTATGAGGATTCCATAATGCGACGAGTGAACACCAGTCATTGTGAACAGCTTTTGAACATTTCAGTCACAATTTTGAACATACACCATACATGTTACTAGGATTCCATAATGCGACGAGTGAACGACAGTCATTGTGAACAGCATTTAAACATTTCAGTCCCATTTTTGAACATACACTTTACATGTTACTAGGACTTCATAATGCGACGAGTGAACACCAGTCATAGTGAACAGCGTTTAAACATTTCAGTCACAATTTTGAACATACACCATACGTGTTACTAGGACTTCATAATGCGACGAGTGAACGACAGTCATTGTGAACAGCATTTAAACATTTCAGTCCCATTTTTGAACATACACTTTACATGTTACTAGGACTTCATAATGCGACGAGTGAACACCAGTCATTGTGAACAGCTTTTGAACATTTCAGTCACAATTTTGAAGATACCCCATACATGTTACTAGGACTTCATGATGAGACGAGTGAACAACAGAATGTACACCATACATGTTACTTGAACTTCATAGTGCGACTTGAATATCTGAACATTACCAGTCATTGTGAACAGCGTTTAAACGTTTCAGTCTCATTTGTGAAAATACCCTATACATATGACATGAAATGGAGTGTTTTGTGCAAAAATATAATTGTGAAATTCTGACTATTCAAATATAAAAAAGTTACGCTATCTCAACTTGTCTTTTAAATTTCACCTTTAATTAATTGTTCAATTTTGATACGTAATTCAAACCAGGGCTACATCGTTGCAGTTTGAAATGAATGGTATTAGTCAGTTGATGTGGAAAACCTGAGAGTCGGAAATACAGTATTACTATATTATTATAAAATGTCAAGTTGTACATCGCGCATTACGTGACATTTTTAATATACATGTTCACGTGCTTGTATACAATAAACAATAACAAAAACGATATCAAAATAAGATTATTTTTGAACACATGTGACGATTTTCTTTTTCAATTGTACGGTGAGTCTACATCTAGCTTAAGTATCCCTTCAAATATTTTCATTTCGCCCTCTTAAAGGCCCCGTGTAAAGTTTTAATCTCTTTGAGTAAGGTTACAGTTTTGCCTTGCATGCATGTTATCAAAATGTGGCATTTGAAACTTTTCAATTAATTTACAGCAACGCATGGCATGGCATACTTTCTAACTTATTTTATGTTGGAAAAAGAAAGCAAAATTAGTCGTAAAATAGTAAGAAATTAACTCATAAGCTCAGTAAAGTGTTCCAGATATCGAAAAAGAATAATCTAAAAAATGATCTAAATTCTAAAAATTTAACTTTTGTTTTTAAAATGGCGGGAAATTCCAATTTTTGAAATCAAATGATGACCAACATGACCAACTACGTTTCAAAAGTCAGATTTTAAAAAATGTCCGAATAGTAGTTTTTCAAGTCAATATTTGAATGATTATTTTCAAACTTTGCATGGGGCTTTTAAACGAAGGGAGATGTGATCGTTGGCTAGTGACTCGAGTAACACCAAATACAACAGGCGCTGACACCCGGGGTAATACTTAGGGTATTATTTTTACTATCGTTACGAAATTGATGGAATAACCCTTGGCTCTCCCGCAGATTTTGATTGAGTACTACATGTAAGTGACTTGCTAGGCTTCGTTTTCGTCGCGTAAAAACAACATAACATTTGAATCACTTCACGGCGAAAGTGTTTCCCAGCAAACACGTAGAACCAGAAGTTGATTCCATAGTTGAGATAAAGAACGTAGATCATGTATAACTCTGCCTTGTATATCGATGCCAGTGTGGTATCGTCCGTCTCCGGGTTGGATAAGATCGACCAAGCCCATACGTAAAATATGACGTATGGTAGTGTGCAAATACACAGGACGAAACTAACGGAAACCAACATGAAGGTAAGCGAGTTGATGTTGTTCTTGTTGTTGTTCTTGTACATAGCAACCATACTTTTCTGGGAGCGACGGTGATACATCACATTCACCAGGATGATGACGTTACATGTGATCACTATGGAGAGCGGGATGACGGAGAGAAGTGCCAGATCAATCCAGAGAAATATCTAGATAAAAGTAGACACATTATTTGATTTTCATTTTTTCGATTCATTTACATGTTGTTCCCGTTCGGAAAAGGCTGAATTTGACGGATATTTCGTATCGTAATTGTTGAAAATCTTTCGAAATGGAAGGTAGCTTACACGATAAGCGTTATGCTTGATTATTGAAAATATCTTTATTTTCTATATCTTATTAAACAAACATATAATAACATACAACATAACAAAGTATTATATCATTATATTTGATTGATGCTCTTATACTGGAACATCCAAAAATCAGAATCCATGACTTTTATCCAAAGATTTGTGGGTTCTATTTTTTGGGGTCACCATGTATAGACCGATTACATAGATAATAGAGGGTTTAAGCTAGCGATATTTTTCACAACTTAACCGTGAACGCAAAGCCAATGAATCAATACGTATATCGCGCATACAAAACAAGCTCTACTACAAAGTCTACTTCAAATTCTTGGAGTCTTATAAAAATAGAACATTCCAAAATGAGACATATGAATATAAAAACCTATAAAAAACGTGAAGCTGTTATTAAATTCTACCTCTCTGTAGTATGTTGTATACCCTTCAGATGGCGTGCAGTAGAACTGGTCAGGTGAATTGGGATTGTACTCGATTATAAACGCGAGCTGAAGATTTGCGGCAAGAAGGACAACCACCGTTATAAGGACAGCTATTTTGACCCGTTTAGTGCTAATGATGATCGAGGCCCGGTGTGGCAATGCAACTGCGATGCATCTCTCTATCGCAAGTAAAGCCACAAGAAATGGAGACAAGTCCGTCATGACGAATAGAATTACAACGCCAATTTTACATGTCCAATAACTGTATTCAGTAAACATGCCTGGAATCCCTATTGTGCATCTCAGTGACATACCAAGTGCACTATTTAGTAAGTTAAACGAGTCCACAAATGCTAGAATGGTTAGCATGACGGTTGTGGTGGATTTCCTGATGTTTTTCCGACTGAAAACAAGGATAGAGAGAATGTTGAATAGGACTCCGAAGAAAACGAGGACAAAGCCGCCGTATTTCCATATTTCGCAACCACCTAAATCTTGACTTGTGTCATCTAACTTCACATCTTCTAGCGCCATGGTTACATTCTCGGGGGACTCTCTATCAGTTGAGTTATGTACGCCATCGCCAATATCTGGCATGGCATCTTCTCCCGATCGAGTTGTGAAAGTCTCATTTAGGGTTGGGGATCCGCTAGGCCAGGTGATTACGGCATGTAGAGTAGTTAATTGAGTTCTTTCTTCTAGTTCCCCTGTTTTGTTTTCCAACGATCTCAAATTCTGGAGACTTTCTTCGTTTATGTCTTTTGGTCGATCTTGTGCCGTTGTTACACCATCAAGTGCGTCAATATCAAGCCATTCTGTTGTGAAGTTAACTTCTGTAAAATTATATGTGTTATTGTCAGTATTGACAGTTCCAAGTCCAACCCAGATCAATGTTAAAGTTAAGTACATCATCTCCATGAGTTTCTGGCTCATTAAAATATACGAAATTGTCACATTGTACAGTGTAGTTCTATCCTTATATATCAGTTACATACCTTTTTTAATAGAATGACATGTATGAATTACACCTCAGCCAATCATGTAACGGAGAAGCAAGAATCTTGCAATTATACTTGTCTCATTGGTTCAAAAAGTCATTGGAATCGATCTGAAGAATGATGCGTAAGACAATAGTATGACACCAGTTCCCCCTTCCATCACGAGGGTGTTCTGCTCTCTATATTTTCGAAGAGGCTCAAATTACTCGAGTCTCCTTGGTTGGAGACAAATTCATTTAAAAAATGCCCATTTTGACCAAACGTAGGCTATACCAATTTTGACTCTTATAGCCTCCGCGACCCTGGCTACGGGAATGGAACATTAAAGCTGTCCATTCTATGATTTAACTGATTTGGCACCCGCTCTATTTTGGTGGATTTGCCGATTTAACTTACTCTAAGTTCACCAATTTAAATGTCAATTCAAATTTAAAAATCGAAAATTAAGTGGCGCAAAATCAACCCGGTTTACAGTATGTTGCAAATTGTCAATGTAATGTCCGCAGGTGTCAGTTAATGGACATATCCATATACATTATATACTTACATTATATTCATTTTCTATCAGGATGGCACCGATTTGGTATCCTTTTCTTTTGAAGAATGTGTTCTACATGTGCGAGTAATAAATATATATAAAAATCCATTTCGTTCGAAAAACTTTTGTTCAAATAAACTCTGAAAATTAAAGTGCAGCATTTTCCTATTTTTGTCACGCTAAGAGATTCTTATAATTGAAGTGTTGTACACCTGTGGACGGGTAATTTTAGAAACTTTGCTAATGGAATGATTACTTCTAATAATTCTGTTTCAAACGTTTGCATTAGGAGTCACGATATGTTATATTCCTTTCCATCACTCTACCATATGACATTAACAGACCGGAATAGCCCGGTAACGGTAAAGTCGGGACAATGGACACTGTAATTACCATTTGCCGTTGTCTTTCTGAATTACTCAAATTCAGATTCCGTTGTCATTGACGATATCGAAGACGCTATATTGTGGCGATTCACGACCCAATATGATCGAAATTGGGATTGCATATGAAACGACATCACAAGAGCTTAATACATGCACATAATTAGCGACGATATAATCCCATGAAATGAGGACCAAGTGATTAAACAGTTGAAGCGACGGTTATGTCCGCCATTTGCAATTGTGACATGGTATCTGACTTTACCGTTGTCAGGCTATTCCGGTGTGATTTACATTGCTATCGCGGTCAGGAATCAACTGGTCATGAAATTACAGAAAGGGAGAGCTTATACGGTAAGTCGGAGCCAGTTTACAAATTTGTTCGCAACGTGCTAGTTATGCGTGATTTACTTGGATGCATTTCATAAAAATAGAGAAGTCTAAAAAATGAATCGATGAAGACGATGCGTTCATCAATTCAGAACAGACTGTGCATCGTATTTCTGTTTACGAAAAACGGAGAGTTCATTTTTCAAACAAATCCACTCGCTCCATTTTTCAAGTAGTATATTGTATATATGTAAATGAAATGATCAATCTGTAACTACTCCCTAGACATTAATAAAGCTAAAATTGATGGATATAACACAAGGAACATTATAATTTAGTCACGCACTTTTAGAAAAAGTTGAAAATAAAACAGTAGGAAATGTGAGTGTAACAAAATTTGACGTTTCTTAATATTTCATCCATGATAGGTAAACACCGACACAAACATATTCATTATTTCATTAACTATTAGTTATTAGAATAAAAAGAACATGCAGAGAATGCGAGAATCGCGATCGCATCGTGCAGATCGAAATTAAACTATAATTATATTGGCTCCCAGATTGCAATTCGATATTCTGTCTATACGATTCCGTAAGTGAAATCACGAAAATAGCGGAGATAATTGATAATTCTCGTGTAAGCAAATCAAATGATGATGCAGACAAAATACCTAATAATAAGGTTCATGTAATTAGCAATGCTAGAATTAGCCGAGCAATGGAAGAAAGTCTGATGAAGGAGTTTTTGTGGAATCGCAATGACTGAACAACGTGACGCCAGAGACATATAAAACTGTTTTATATATGTCTCTGGTGACGCCAATCAAGACAACAATAATGTCAACTTCATAAAGACAGCAATCGGCATGATAAACTGAAAAAGAGCAGGAGTGGATAACACAACTAAAAAGAAGTTATTGCTTGCTCTGTGCATTTCTTTATTTCTAAAACATGTACAATGCAAATTTCACAACAAAACATTAAAACAGTTATATATAGTTTTTGATGTTCAGATTGTAAAATAAACTTTGCATTCTTGCTTTTTTTAACATCGTTTTCATCAATTTTCGATCAGTTACTCTACAGTAAAATTTCTTAATGTGAACAGCCTTTGAACATTTTAGTCACAATTTTGAACACACACCATACATGTTACGAGGATCTTATAATGCAAGGAGTGAACAACAGTCATTGTGAACAGCCTTTGAACATTTCAGTCGCAGTTTTGAATATACACCTTACATGTTACTAGGACTTCATAGTGCGACGTGTGAACACCAGTCGTTGTGAACAGCCTCTGAACATTTCAGTCCCATTTTTTGAACATACACCATACATGTTACGAGGATCTTATAATGCGACAAGTGAACAACAGTCATTGTGAACAGCCTTTGAACATTTCAGTCACAATTTTGAATTTACCCCCCACATGTTACTAGGACTTCATAATGCGACGAGTGAACACTGAACACCAGACATTGTGAACAGCCTTTGAACATTTCAGTCCCATCTTTGACCATACACCCTACATGTTACTAGGACTTCATAATGCGACGTGTGAACAACAGCCATTGTGAAGAACCTTTGAACATTTCAGTCCCATTTTTGAACATACACCTTACATGTTACTAGGACTTCATAATGCGACGAGTGGACACCAATCATTGTGAACAGCCTTTGAACATTTCAGTCTCATTTTTGAATTCACCCCCCACATGTTACAAGGACTTCATAATGCGACGAGTGAACACCAATCATTGTGAACAGCCTTTGAACATTTCAGTCACAATTTTGAATTTACCCCCCACATGTTACCAGGACTTCATAATGCGACGTGTGAACATCAGTCATTGTGAACAGCCTTTGAACATTTCAGTCTCATTTTTGAATTCACCCCCCACATTTTACAAGGACTTCATAATGCGACGAGTGAACACCAATCATTGTGAACAGCCTTTGAACATTTCAGTCACAATTTTGAATTTACCCCCCACATGTTACTAGGACTTCATAATGCGACGAGTGAACACTGAACACCAGACATTGTGAACAGCCTTTGAACATTTCAGTCCCATCTTTGACCATACACCATACATGTTACTAGGACTTCAAAATGCGACGAGTGAACAGCAGTCATTGTGAAGAACCTTTGAACATTTCAGTCCTATTTTTGAACATACACCATACATGTTACTTGGATGTCATAATGTGACGAGTGAACAACAGTCATTGTGAACAGCGTTTAGACATTTCAGTCTCACAGAAAATACCCTAAACACACGATATGAAATGGGGTGTTTTGTGTAAAAATATAATTGCGAAATTCTGACTATTCAAATATAAAAAAGTTACGCTATCTCAACTGGTCTTTTAAATTTCACCTTTAATTAACGTTTAATTTTGATACATAATTTAAACCAGGGCTACATCGTTGCAGTTTTCTAGTTTGAAATGAAGGGGTAGGAATTAATCAGTTGATGTAGAAAACCTGAGAGTCGGAAATACATGATATGATTTTTATCCACGAATGGATATGATATCTGCACGAGCGAGCGTAGCGAGAGAGTACAGATATCAATATCCATATCGTATGCTATGGTTAAGTGAATTTTTTTCAAAAATATCATATTTTACCTCTGATTACAAAAATACCGTTTTTATTTTCGCATGCTATCCTATGAATATCATGCTAACTATGGAATAATACATGATATTTTTTAGTATACAGGTAGATCCACGTTCTTGTATACAATAACTGCATCTAGCCTAAGCATCCCTTCAAATATTTTCATTTCGCCCTCTTAATGGCCCCGTATAAAGTTTTAATATCTTTGAGTAAGATTATAGTCTTGCCTGACATGCATGTTATCAAAATGTGGCGTGTGAGACTTTTTAATTTAATTTAAAGCAACGCATGGCATGACATACTTTCTTACTTATTTTATGTTTGAAAAAGAAAGAAAATTGGTTGTAAAATAGTAAGAAATTAACTCATAAGCTCAGAAAAGTATTCCAGATATAGGAAAAAGAATAATCTAAAAATTATCTAGATTCTAAAAATTTAAATTTTTGTTTTTGAAATGGCGGGAAATTCCAACTTTTGAAATCAAATAATGACCAAGTGCGTTTCAAAAGTCACATTTTCAAAAAAATGTCCAAATAGTTTTTCAAACTTTGCACGGGGCCTTTAAACGAGCGGAGATGTGATCACTGTACATCAAATAGAGTAGGCGCTGACAACCGGGGTATTATTTACGAAATTGATGGAATAACCCTTGCCTCTCCCGTAGATTTCGATTGAGTATTATGTGACTTGCGAGGCTTAGTTTTCGTCGCGTAAAAACAACACAACATTTGAATCACTTCACGGCGAAAGTGTTTCCCAGCAAACACGTAGAACCAGAAGTTGACTCCATAGTTGAGATAGAGAACGTAGATCATGTATAACTCTGCCTTGTATATCGATGCCAGTGTGGTATCGTCCGTCACCGGGTTGGATAAGATCGACCAAGCCCATACGTAAAATATGACGTATGGCAGTGTGCAAATACACAGAACGAAACTAACGGAAACCAACATGAAGGTAAGCGAGTTGATGTTGTTCTTGTTGTTCTTGTACATAGCAACCATACTTTTCTGGGAGCGACGGTGATACATCACATTTACCAGGATGATGACGTTA